AGAACACTTGCTTCGCACATGTAAGGCACTGGGTTCAATCCTCAGCACCACATAAAATAAAGGTACCCACCTACAATTTTTAAAAAATTAAAAATAAATAAATAAAACATTTCAGTTAACATAATTGCTGGTTAACTGAAAACATGAGATTGTTTACCTTATAACTTTAGATTTAAAAAGCAAAACCTGTTAATTCACATTCTTTATTTTTAAAGGAAAATCAATGGCCTGAACATAAACCTCTTTTAAAAGCTACTTTCCACATCAAGATCTTGCTTTTGATTCAAGTATCTAATTAATATACACATAGGCATAGTATTATAGTTTTTTAGACCTAAAAATTCCCTATTTAATATTGAACATTTTAATGCTATTTAAAAATATTGCTACTGTTCTTGAAGAATACCTTGAAAGCTTATGTGGTCTAATTTTAAATGTAAAGATCATGGTATAATTTTCTCCTGATTTATAAAGATCTAATGTTTACTGAGATCTAACCACATACCAGGCTTTGTTCTAAAGCAGTGCTTCTCAACTATCTAGAGTTAAGAAACATTTTTACTTAAATTATTTTGGATCTATTGCAAATGAATAGTTCTACCACACAGGGCTGGCTAGGGTGTAGCTGGGGCCACATGAGCCTCACAGTTCAAGTTCAACACTCGATCTGGTGTCTGGTCTGCTTAGCAAGAAGAGGAGTTCACTTATCATGAGTTTGGAGTTGTGGTAATGTCAAAAGGCTATAAAAGTTTCTGAACACTTTCTTGAAATTCGTCTTGTGCTTATTGTGACTAGCTATAAGCTCTTCATAGACTGGCACTACTAACCTAAAGACCATGCTTTGAGTGGCACTGCCGTAAAGTACTACATATTTCATCATTGAAAGTGTCCCCCAAGAAAAATTGCTATCCCAGTATTATCCTAATATTACAGAGAAAAAAAAGGAGGGATAGTCTATTTCCCCATTTCAAGGGCATATAGTTAGCAGGGAGTAGAACTTAGATTCAGACTCAAGCAGCCATTGCACAGAGAAGCTAGTGTTTGGACCAGGCGGGCCAGATCCAGAGCCTACACTTCTTGTCAAATAAGAATAGTTCAGCTTGGATCATCAAAGACCTCCTCAAATATACCTCCTACAGTTTACAAACTGCCTTCATCCACACCTCTCTTGGGGGAAAAGGGACCTTCTTCCTGTCCGCGGTCAGTGCCTGTATCTCTTGGTTCCATTCTTCTTATTTTTCCTGTATGCTTCTGATCCATCAATCTAAATAAGTGTGCAAGAACAGGGAGAAGATCCATTTTACAGACAATGAAGCTGAGGTTTATTAAGGTAGAAACTTGCCCAAACATGTAACTAAGGCTGCATGGTTGTGGTGTGACTATATCCCAGTGTGCAAAGGTTGATCCCAGTTTATTGCCCTAGCACCTTGTTTGGGGCAAGTGGCACTTCCATTTCACTTTCAAGTGTCCTACTTCTTTGTCACCCTATGTTGCCAATGAGTGGCAGAGATGGAACGGACTATCTATATGATATATGACAGGCTCCCAACCAGGGGTCTGTTACCCCAGGCTATTCATTAAAATTTGTAATTATAAGTCCAGAGGGATTATTCTCAGTCATTCAGCAAACATTTATTGTCACAATGTGACAGAAATTGCACTAGCAGATGTAAGCTAAGAAATGAAAAGGTGGTTCAAGTCCTCAGAAACTTGGTTTAATGAGGAAACAGACCCAGAAATACTTATATTTAGGATAGGCTACCTAATTTATAGGACCCAGTGTAATGAAAACACAGGCAGGGCCCTTTAAAAATTGAGAATTTCAAGATGGCATCAACAAGGCATTCAGCCAAGTGCTGGGCCCTTCCAAGAAAGAGCCCTGTCTGTGTTCATTCAATCAATGAGGCGTGCTCAGTGCATTATGGAAATACATAGGAGTTGCCCAATCCCAAGAGTGAGCCTAAGATAGCTTCCTGGAAGAGATGAAAACTGTGCTGACCTTAGGGAATACGCATTGGATATTTGCCTTGTGTAGAGTCATTGGGACTAAAGTGCATCCCCAATAATTGGGCTGTGACACGTGCGGTGAACATGCAGATGTGTTACCCTGATTCCCCTTCAAGGTGTGTTGCCCCAGCTGCAGGAATTGCACATGGCAGGACGATCCTTGTGCACCATTTTAGCTCACAGCTTCTTGTGGGGTGGACTAAGGTTGTCTGGGCAACATTCCAGCTGTTTCTTCCTCCACCCAATCTTACTTCTTTCCTCTAGATTCTAAAGGTGTTAATCCCAAGGCCACTGATGCCAATAGCATCAAGAACACTAAACTTGATCATGGTCACCACAGCATCGCATCCCACAGAACCAAACTGCAACATGGACAAAACAGCACCCAGTACTCAAGGAGGACTTTAATTTAAAAATTATTGGTTATATGTATACTCATATCATTTATTTCTAAGCCTCCCAAAGGTAAAACAGTAGAAACAAGGATTGTATGAATGAGGTTACCCTCTGTGTTAAAAGCCAGAATTCGATACAGATCAGCATGCCCATTAAAATGCACAAGCCACATTTTGTAGAAATGGGGTCATGACTTTATCAAAATTCTAAAGGAAACCTATTTCTATTTTTCAGTCTGTATTTGAGGAATAATGTAACCCATAACTACTAATTATGGAGTAGGATGTAATTTCCCTTATTGACACACTCAATTTTCAATGAATGAACATTTGAAAATTATATCATTGGTGAAGAAACCAGGTGGCAATAAACATGGCTTTCAGGTTGGACCATTACTTATTGAACTTTCTCAATTTTCTTCATTCCAGGTGAAAGATTTTTCTCTTTCCTTTTAAATTATAAGTCCGCCCTTAGTAGTTGTGGCACATTAGAGGAAGTACAAATTAGTTTTTTGATGTGGTCTCCAGAATGTCACAGTCTTCTAGGTAAAGGTGAATCTTGAAGACATTCCCAAACAGAATTGACTGTGGGAAGTGACTTAATACACATTAAATCGAACACACTTCAGAGCACAAGATTCTGAACATTATTAATCTTTCAGAATTAGATTTGAAACAAATACTCAGATTTGAGAAGAGGGGCTTCTAACACCTCTACAAACATGGACTTTCATTGGTTTACAATTGACAAGTTAGTCAGCTGATAAATTAACTCACCAAATTGTCACAATGCTAAATAATAATCTAATTCACTGCCTCATTGAATTGAAAAGTTGATTCTTCTTCTCAAGTTAAGACATCAATTATTTATGGTGTTATCAAAAGGACTTAGCATTACATTGACTTATATATGTAATTCATTCCTAATAATGAAGAATAAAACAAAGACAGCAGGTGGAAACTCTTGGAGGTAATAAATATGTTTAGGACATCAATTGTGAGAATGGATTCTCAGATATATGTACGAAGTATAGACATTAAATATCTACAACTTTTTGTATTCAGTTATACCTCAAGACATTTAAAAAATAAAATCCCCAAAATTCCCATTTTATTTCATATCTATATTAAAATTGGAGAGGAAGTGAAATTTATGTAATTGGTTAAAGAAAATATAGGCCTTGATCTTTCATGTGCCAAGGACTTCAAATGTGTCATTTGCTGTGGGCCACAAGACAATCCTAGAAGAGCCTTGTATTAAAACATAAACTCAGTAGAAATAATTTCCCAGATGCAGATAATTCATTTGTAGAAGACTGAGGCATGTTCCCCACCTCCATGCCACCCAGAAAATTAAGGAATTGAATTTGGGATTCTAAAAGAAAAATAATATTGAGAACAATTTTTTTTGTCAACTCAGTTGTAAAGTATTTTAAATAGAAGTGCAGAAAACATATGAAAAGTCCAGTAGACACTGATCAGCCCAAACACACACAAACTAAAACCAAAACACTAGAACATTTTATGCACCCTAGATGCCCTCCCATTTTGTATCCAAAATACCAACACCTTCCATCTCCCAAAGCTAAGAATTGCTCAAACTTAGGGCCTCATGCATGTTGCTTGAATGGAACTTGTTTAAATGGAATCATAAATATTCTTTTGGGTTAGATTTCTTTGGAGCAGTGTTGTATTTGTGAAATTCATCTGTGTTGTTCACGTAGTTTAATTGCTTTCAACGTTGTGTGTTCTGCTACCTCATTTTCCTTCTCCTGTTGGTGAGCATGTCAGTTATTTCCAGCCTGAGCTATTAGGAATCGTTTGTAGGAACACCCTTGAACACCACTCTTGGTGCATATGTGTACACATCTGGCCAGTCAACAGGGTGTGCAGCTTATGAAACTGCTATAAACTTTTTTCTAAAATAGTTTTTTCCAATAAAAATATTCATACCTGCAGCAGTACGTGAGTATTCCTGTTGCTCCATGGGGTGTTTGATGCACTTTTCCAATTGTTGGACTCTTGGATATTCTTTTTTGTAAGATGAATTTTCAATTCAGGTCTCCTGTCCATTTCCCTAATTGAACTTTCTGTGTCTTTCTTAAGGAGCTTTAGGAGGTACATTTGATGGCACCATTTCTCAAATTTTAGCCTGTACCATAATCACCCTCTGGGCTTGTTAAAACAGATTACTGGTCCCTACCACCTGGGTTTCCAATTGAGCAGATCTGGGGAAGGTGCCAGAATCTGCATTTTTAATGAGTTTCCAGGCGATGCTGCTAGCCCAGGGACCACTCTTGATAACCAATATTCTATCACTTTCTAAGATACAACAAAAACCTTGACCATTTAATATTTGCTCAAGGCTGGACATAAGCTAATATTCTTTTCCCGGAAGGAGAGCAACTGGACCCCAACAGCCACTGTTTCTGTCTATCCACAGCCCACATATCTTCTTAGAAGACTTGGTTCACCTAAGCAGTCAACAGAACCCACTGATAAAGGAAGATATTCTTTTGATCTCAGGAAAACTCTGGCTTTCTTCAGCAAAGATATGAGTCAGTAATCCCTCTAAGAACAAAAATACAGACCTCTGAATGAAGAGGAAAACTGTCATTTATTTCAGTTGAGTTTTGTTTCATTAAAAATCCTATGACATCAAAACAGAAATGAAATAGAAACATGTTTATATGACCGTGTAACCTCTAAAGGCCAAATGAACACATATATATTTAAAACGTTTCTCATATTTAAACAGACATCATTGTCATTTCAGTTTCCTGAAATACTAAACATGACTCTCAAAAAACAACTTTGTGCGTGATTGTTGTACAAAACATTAATCGTAGACTTCTGAATACAAAGTCAGACCACCTCTGTGGCTCCATGTATTTTGGTGGTTTGCTGTGTGTGTGCTTTTTTTAATAATGCTTCATTCTACAAAACATTCGTTTCTGTTAATGAATCGAAAAGCCTACTATATATGGGCATTTATGTGTGTGTGTGTATAGAAACACACACATACACACACACAAACTGATGTATGCAACCTGAGGGTGATGATATCCTATTAACCTGAACCCAATGTACATAGCTACTGCATCAGGAAGAACTGGACTCATAGTTCAAATGAAGTACAAAGGTCCTAGAAGTATTGTGGTTTGTTGACTGCCTATTCAGAAGGACCCAAAGAAACTGCTGTTAGTGGTCAGAAGGAAACTAATCTGAACAGGCTCATGAAAGCTTCTGGAAGCATCCTGAGAACATAGTACATAATTACAGCCAATGTTTGCAACAATTTTCAGTTTTAATCACCAAGTCAGAGAGCCTATGTATGCAATTCGGAAAGGATCTTAGGAAAGGCTAAACCAAAAGATTTCTAGTCAACAAGAGGATTAACCTCCTGTAAACCAGAAATCCAAATAAGAATAATACTCCATATGTTAGGAATTATCCTTGGAGTTGATAATTCCAACTTTTGGAATTGTTTGGCCTTTTGGGAAAGTATCACCTTGCTGAGTCAGAAACTGCAAGGAAGTTCCATGTCTGAGCCAGGCAAATCTATAGATGAGGGACGTTCACATGTGTATCCTTCATTATGGAAGCACGAATAAAGGCTCTCAACTTAAGAAAGCATTTTCTTTTTTAGAACCTATAATAAAATATTGTCCTCCTATACTTTAGTCACATATCTTTTTGGAGCCGGGGCAGGGTGGATTCTTCCTCCTACAATGTTACTTGAAGTACATTTTTCTTGTTGTTTTGTTTTTTCCTGTTAGTTTTATCTGTACTATTCTAACCAGAGGCCTTTGGGGGAAAGTAAGGAGTCCTAGTTGAGAGTGGTGAGACAAAATGGCAACTTCACACAGTCTTCAAGTAAGTAGAGTCCCTGATACCACTGGAGGTTAGTGTCTTATTTTGGGGAACAGAGGAGAAAAAACAACAACAACAAAAAAAAAATCAAAACAAAACAAAATTATCCCAAAACTAATAACAAAAAACCCCTGTCATAACTGTATTCTATTCCTTACAAAATGGGCTTTGGCTCTGGGGTCCGTTAAGGCACAAAACCTGGTAGACACCTTTTATTGGTGGTCTGCACCTCTGATTTAGATTGTAAAAGAACAGCTATAACATTTGAATTTCAAAAGGGAGAAAATCCAAGAAAACTAACATCTTGTATGTGTAAATATTTGTTGCTAGAGTTAAGGAAAAAAACAAACTACAATGTAGTTTACACAGTGCAAAAACTATAGACAAATGCCTTTGGAATTGATTGACATCCTGGCAGAATCATAGTGCTGTCTCAAAAATGGTTAAGGCTGAAGACTGTCCATTGGAAGTGTTCATAACCACAGGGCCACTGTGAGCAATATCTGGATAATTCCTTTTGAAGTACACCTATAAAAAAAAATAACAAGCATAAAAAAAAAAACATCTTTAGAAGTTTCAAAGTCCTCCTCTCTAAGGCATTGCATTTCTGTGTCCACTTCTTCGTGTGAAGCAAATCATGTCATTTACTGAGGCACAATTACAAACCAGGGATGTACATATGCTGCAGAGGAATTAGCCCCCTAAAACCCTCTGCTGGGCTGGGCTGAATGCCAAACCACCTGTAGATCCACTTTAGTTCAGATCATTCTGATTCCCAGATATGTTTTATCACTCCATTAAATTGATAAGCAAAATCATTTTACTGACTCAAAACCTGGAGATAAATTAAAAACAGGGTGACAAAGAGGCTGGGAAATCTAGCGTCTGCACGAGGGTTTCTCATTTTCGCACATAAAATGAGCACAATAGATTTGGATGTTAATATCAGGTTGTAATCCCTATATTTTATAAACTCTGACTGACAAGCATTCAAACTCTGGCTTCTGTGTATGAAATATCCCAGCGTTTAATTTGTGCAGCAAAGCAGTCCCAGGGCCCATAGAAATGTGATCTGTGGATAGTGGGTCACAATAATGAAAAGCAGGGAAAAAGCTTGAACAATGACCCAACCAAGCAACTTCTCTAAAATGTAAGATGATACCAAATAATAGGACAGTCCTTTGCCAAGCCTTTGAGTTCCTGAATTCTACCAATTTCTAGCTGAACTAGAAGAGATACAGGTTTCCTGATAAATGTATAATCAGAACATAAAGGAAATGAAATGCTGTCAAGTTTCTCTGTTCCACAATCATCCGTTTTTAGTAGCTGTATCGTATCTTGGTTCCTTGACAGATGCGTGTAACAAAATGAAATAATGTCAAGACTTGTGAGCTCTTATCTCCAAATGTGTTTGGGTGAAAAAGGACTTCGAATGTAATTTTTTTTTTTTTATTCCCAAAGAAGAATGTGAAAAGTTTTGTTCGAGTCTTTAAAACAGAAAATGTACCATCTATCTGAGGCTGACGTGTGTCATGAGCTGGGTCTCTTAGTCATTCGATTCTGGATCTATTTTATGAAACCTGGCTCCAAATATATTTGTGGGTGCTGTCAACAAAGTTATCATTGGACATAATGGACTTCAAATACAAAATGAGGAGCGCTGAGACACACACCTATGTGTTAAGCCCACTTTCTTTCTTTCATTGCTTGCATACTTGTTACTCAAAAAAAAAAAATGACTTAAACACAAAATTCGATATATTAAAATGTCACATAAGAAGAAAAGTATTCTCTACTTAATTCCCACTGGGTGAAATTTGGGACAAGTTTTCAAAAATATGATACTTGTGTGTGGGGGTTCTGCTCTTTTTGAGGTAGCTATATTTTCAGTGGTTATAGATTTACATGTTTCAAAAGGGAGATTTCTTGTTGAAACTAAAAACAACCAACAATGGAACAAATGGAAATTCAACTGAAGTTCTGCTCCAGAGTCCTCCTCAGATATGTTGGTTTTGTCCCCCTGACCCTTCTCAATGTCATTTTTTATAAAGAAAATGATGCTATTTGCAATTCTGCACTAAATGGTCTTAGTTCCTGGTCTGAAAGGCTTGGTTGAGAACGGACTTCCTTTTGTATAAAATCCTTCATCTGGCCTATCTTTCCCGAATCCGATGCCACATGTTATAAAACATTCTGGACAACGGCCTAGAAGGATAGAGCATCTCTTATGCAGTGAGGGGAGTGGATGACTGCCCCTCTCTGGCAGGGTCCTCAGGTCCCAGGCTTATCCTAGGGTGGAAAGGCCCAGTCTTCATACTCCCTCCTGGGACTTACTGCTGATACTGGAAAAACTACTCTACCCTCCCTCTATACTGGCTGCCTCGTCTGTAAAATGAGATAACAATGACTTACCTCATAGGAACTAATTAATGGCTGCACACTGCTGGTGGAAAACACACCGAGTTAAGTGCTGGGTGTGTTTGGGAATGCTGCTCTGAGAAATGGCCCCTTAGTACACGGAAAGTAGCAGCATTACCCGGCATGAGACACAAAAACATCACACCAGGAGTCCCGTTTGTGGATCTTGATTTTATTAATACAGACCCCAGAGTCATGGTTGAGACTGTCCACTGAGTGAACGTGGCAAGCCGGAAGGAGAAAGTACAACTGAGAGGGTGCTAAAGCTGGAGGACCAGCCCTTGCCAGTTGGGGACTCTGGGACATTATTAGCCTCCTCTGTCTCAACTTCTTCATGTGTCAAAAAGGGATAACCTTGTCACATAAGAATGTCTGTGAAGAGTATATTGGAGACAGTGCCATACAATCTCAAGTCTGGGGCCAGCAGACTTTATGTCCAGTCAATGTTGGGCATCTTGCTCCTCTTCTTCTGGTTCTCTGGAGTCTGGTTCAAAGAGTCCCTTTGATGAAGTCTGAAACTTCATATTTAAACTCAGGCTCATCATAAAGCCACCATAATGGAATTAGATCTTACTAAAAGCAAGAAAGCAATACCAGCTCCCCTTCATGGACAAAAACTGGGGCTTTTATTTTACATCAGCCCAACAGATTGAATTCTGGCTCAATACCATCAGTTCCTTCTCACTGATCTGTGTAACTAATGGTACTCAAGGCCTCAGGTTCCTTCCTCATTAAAGCAGGTGTGATTTTGGTGTGCATCACTGGTGTGTATGTACTACTGTCCGAGAAATGGAGGGTTAGAGCTTCTGCTCTTAAGAAAATGCAATAATGAATTTTTCTCTCTCCTGTCCTTTTAGAAATCACCTTAAACATCAAAGATATTGAGAAAAAAAGAATAAGCTCAGCCTTTGATGGAATCAGGTGTCATCGGAAACACTGACTGGGAAAATATCCGGAAGGGTTGCATGTGCCACTGGATTCAATGAGGTTGTGGAAAGAGAGACAGTGGACACCACTGGGAGCAGATCTCAGCCATCAGGGAGAGTAAAGTCCTCCAATCAGCTGGCGCCAACAGAAATCATACAGAAACAGCTTTGTTGAAGAATATACATTGGTGAGGCCCAGGGGGAGAGAGGTTCTGAGATGTGAGCTGCATTATAAATACCCATTTCTTTCTCTCTCTGTCGTCTCTCTCTTGCGCAGTCATAAGGAGATTCTATGATAAACAGGGCGAATTTGCTTTGAAACCATGCCCTGGCCACAACTATCCCACAGCTCTATGGTCTAGGAAAAACTCATTTTATTCAAAGGGGAGAAGTAGGAAAAATAATAATAATAATAATAATAAAAAGAAGTATAAGATCTGTCAAATATACAAATAAAAAGTGAGAAAAGGAAAACGATGGACACGTGATAAATGAATACTACTGATCAGGTGAAAATGGCAAAACAAAACAAACAAACAAAAAAACCCAACCCACCATAATGCAATACATGCAAAGGCAAAAGTTGCAGAACAACCAACCAATGCACAACAGTGGTACAAGTGACCAGGGTAAAAATGCAAAGCAAAAAGGTGATGGGACCTGAGTTGACAGAGGTCAACAGTGGAGTGAAGGGGAAAATGAAAATATCAATGAAATGACTGAAGAACTGAAGGGAGCATGGAGATGGTTAGCCAGGGATGGAAAAAAATGAGACATGGGAACAGGATTGAGTACTCAGTAAAACAACTGGAAATTAATAATTACAAAGGACTGGGCGAAAACAGTTTATAAAACAGACAAAGGACACATAGCATAAACAGGACTGAGACTTGTAAAGAGGACAATATAATCAAATTTTTAAAATAGGGTAAATTTAAGGAAATTTCCAGAAACAAAAGCCCAAAGGGAACTCAGTGATATCCCAGAAAAAACAAATGACCTCCAAAATAAAGAAAGAATCCTTTGAGCACCAAGGGGAAAGACCAAATTATGTCTGTGTGGCTTCAGACTCCTCCACACGAATAAACAATTTTAGAAGACCTCAGACCAAAGATTACAACATATTAAGTCAAACAAAGTGTTCAAATTTTATAACAAGCAAGTTTAAATTAGACAGCAGCCAACTATTTCAGACATGTGATAAGTCACAGATTCTAGCTCCAATGAACCCTCCTCTAGAACACTGTTTTATAGCTTATTACTTATTTTTACTGCTACCTGTAATAATAAATATGTCTCACTTTACATGGAGTTCAGTTTACTTTCCCTATCTATAAGAACATCCCTATAGATTTCAAGGAGATCCATGAAATATCTAATATAGTTATTTTCCTTCTATTTCATTATTCTCTAATTCATTCCTTAAAAGGCACTGATTGTGATGGACTAAGCAGGTGCCAAACCCACTATTGGATCACTAGAATCTGAAAAGGGCTACACTAGGGCCGGGGGTGCAACTCAGTGGTATAGCACAGCCTTGCCCAGTATGTGCAAAGGCCTGGGTTCAATCCCAGCTCTGAGTAAAAAGTTAAAAAAAAAAAAAAAAGACTGTACAAGAGCAGAAACCCTAGCCAGCTAAGAGTTGGGGAAAGTATCATCAATTAAAACAGAGAAGTGAAATACACAGGTCTAAATATATTTAAAAACTATTTAGACAACTGAAGTTTTGTAGTTAAAAAAACCCTAAAATTTTACAGCATTAGCGTTTATTATTAAGCTGATAATTAAAATAATTTCTAAATATTCAGAATTTCTAAAGCTATTCAGAATGCTTTGGACATTTCTTTTGTTATAACCAGGAGGTAAGGGTTTGGCCTCTAGCCTTCTGAAAAGTGAACAAATTTTTGTTATTAATAGGTGACATTTCTTTATATCTGTAAAATGCTTATGTTCTTGGAAGCATGTAAATACATACCATCTCATCTGATCCCAGCAGGGTGAAGGGGCCGGGACAGTACTGTAATCCCTGCACTACAGACTTGTATCCAAGGCCACTGCCTGCTAAGGGCCTCTTTATCTATTTAATCAGGTCCAGGCTCCTAGGATCCAGGATGCTAGGATGTCACGACTTTTGGGTTCTACCTGGTGATTTCACGAATAGATAAAATGGCACATCCATCCCACGGGGAGAACAAAGGAACTCTGAAAGCTTCAACTAGGTCTGCTGCACCCAGGAAGAGGATGATGGGCACTCAGCCCTTGTTACATGGTGAATGGTGTGGTGACCCCCTCCTCCCAGTGCTGAAGCACTAACCCCACTACCTCAGAATGTGACTGCATTTGGAGACAGAGTCCTTAAAGAGGTGAGTTCATTGAGGTACTTGGGGTAAGCCTTAATCCAATGTAACTTTTAAGAGATTACAGGAAGAGGAAAGACCAGGAGAAGACAGCCATCGACAAGCCAAGGAGAGAGGCCTCAGAAGAAAGTCATCCTGCTGATGATGGCTTTGACCCTGGATTTCCAGCCTCCAGAACTTTGAGAAAATAAGTCCTCATGCTTAAAGCCAGCTAGCCCACAGGACTTTGTTAGGGTAGCCCAGCAGACTAATACACCCTCCAGCTTTATATGTCTACGAAGTACTTTTCTCTAAGTTTTCATGGATCATGTCTCTAAAGGCCAATCAGCTGGCCCGCACCAACGTTTTCAGAAAAGCAACTATGTGGTCAAGGATACGTGACTTGGAAGTACCTTTACCCAGATGCTGAATTTTCTTTTCAAACCAATGAATTCTAATCTGTGAGAGTGAAAAGCTTGTTGATTTAGACTAATCCCCACAGTGTTCTGAAGGAAGCGTTGATATTTGATCTTATACATTTAAAAAGCTGACACTCTGACAACTTGTTCTCCTAAGCGGACCAAGTGTGTGCAGAAATAATGTCAAGAAGATATTCAGTGGGGCTAGGAATCAAGATCTGTATTTCCTTTTGTCTTTCTGAAGAAGTGACCTGTGCTAGTGACGGGCAGGCCTGAGATCCAAGAGGGATGTTCTGCCTCTGAGGGAGCCTGGGTGACTGGCCCCACCTTGCACACCCAGTGAAATAAGGAGGAGTGTTTTCAGGCTCTATGCAGAATGCAGCGGCTGGAACAGGGCGTTGGCCTCACCCAGCAACGTGCCTTCTGCTGTCCACCAACCCATATCCTTGCCAACCAAGTGCCATAGGAAAGAACTGCTGTGAAGAGCCAGGGAAATCATTTTCAAGAACTTATACAAACTACATGAACGTAACTGACCATTAGTACTGTTGAAGCAGATGAAAGAGAATCAAGAGGTTTCTAATTTTGTGACCTCTGTATACATGTTACACTTGAAATAAAAGGAAGGTTGAAGGAAAACATTTCTCATTTGGTGTCTCCTACAAACGAGGGTAACACTGGTCACTCGATTATCTTGGGGCCTTATTTCCTCATCTTTAAAATAAGGATGATGAGTACACAGGGAATCCCAAAGGATTGGTTGGGTCTTATGAGGGAAAGTTGGACCAGCAGAAGATGAAAGTCCTCTGGATAATTTGGGCCTAGAAAAGTCTAGTGCTTCAAGTGCAGCTTCTCACCTCGGGTGCTAGCAGTGTAAGTCTTTATGAAAAGCTCGGTACACAGACACCATCCTCCCTGAGCCTACACCTTGAACCCCAACCTTGCTAACTATTTAGCTAGCTATGTGATCCTGGCGAGTTCCATCCCCTCACTGAGCCCTGTCCTCCTAAACAGTCGTAATGATAGAAGGGAGTCTATCCTAGCACAGTGTGTCCCTCTCAACGAGTGCCAAAGTATCCCCCTCATCATCAACAGTTCAACACATGCACCAAACACCTCGGTTCTTCTCTATTCTTTGGTTTATATTGCCCATGACTAGGGGCATGCCTAACATGTTGTTAGTACCAAGCATGATATATTGAATATGTAGGCATATACGTCACAGTTTTAAACACAGATGCAAGACTCAAAGAAATATTGGAAGGCACAGATCCTCATTCCTAAACAAGAATAAGAAACAGTGACAGAAGGAAACCTTTGCTACATTTTAGACAAATCACTCATACAAAAGGACTGTTAGATACTGGAACAGTATTATTCTGTTGTGTTTAAAAGATATTTAAAATGCTATATAAAACCAAGCAATGTTATTCTACCTATGGTGTTGAAAGCTTAGGAGATACAGAGAAGAATGAAAATGGAAAAGCACATCCATGTTGCCATGATGCTAAGAGGTGAGCAGTTACGACAGGGAGCCTCATCAGGTACCACTGGAAGCCCTTGCCCAACACGCGGCAAGGAAAGTGGACATTCGCCCCACCTTCCTCCTCCCACCAACACAAAAACCACCTCACAGAATTATTCAAAGAATTATGAGCCACTGTGTGACACTGGCTAAGTTCTTAAACCAAAGTGCAATATCCCATCTGTAGAAGGAGCTAGGACTGCATGGCTGTTGTTTTCAGACACCATGTAACCCAAATGTCTTTAGTACTCTGTAAACCTTCAAGCACTATTCAGACTGTAGCTTTGATGGATTTTTGATTTGTCCTGACGACAACGTTATCTTCTAGAAGGTAGAAGTACAAAGTGGTCTTTGGACCCAATCTTAACAAAGAATTAGGAGAAACCTGGGGAGAAAGTGACAGTAGGAGTTTTCTCGACAAATTATAAAACAAAGAACTTTGTTTTATATCTGCTTGTTTCCCTGGTAGATCTTTCTAGAACAAATGAACAATATTCAACATTTCCCTTCACACTCTCAAATCTCCTGGATGTACCTTGACAAGCATTTGCATGCACCTCAAATGTCCTCAGCACACATACGAATGAAATTCAATGGGTCTGCAAAATGAGTATTGTGTTCTGTGAGAATCAGAACCCTCAGTCTACATGGGGAAAAAGTCCAGTCTAAAACTGTCCCCATCAGGCACACCTGCTTGCATGCGTATGTACACCCCACGGCCCCCAATGCTTCTGTCAAGTCTCCCAGGCCTGACTTCAACCTGGGACATGCTGAAGCTTTGTCTCTGGAGGTTTGTAATTGAAAGGGGGCACACAGTGCTTGTTACCAGACCCATGGTGCCAAATTGTGAGGAATGAAATAGTGAGACAAACTTTAATTACAGCTCCTTGGTGCACACTCACCTGTTTTGCTGTTTCAGTGAGGGCAGCGGCTTCTGCCTTGCCCAGCTGCTGCACCATCTTGTAAAATAGGCTCTCTTTATTTTGCAGCAAAACGTACGGCTCATCATATTCTTTCAGTCTTCCTGAATCCAAAACCTGGTAATCAGCAGAAAGAAGACCATTGAAACACAATGTTTTGCAGCAACATATTATAACTCAGACAATATTTCGGAAAGGGGCAGGAGAATATAGAGAATCTATTTGGGTGGTAGGCCCGGAGGGTGTTTAAACGGTTTGATTACCCTGTTTTACGAAGCAAACAAAGGCCTAACCTGACCTTTTATTATTATAATGTTATAGGAAAGGAAGAAAATGAAAGTTCTAGACTATGATTATAGGCAATCAGCAGTCCTGTGCATTTTCTATTCTGCCAAGGGCATCTGGGGTTGTTATTATTAGTTAGTGCTTTTAAAACTGGGTAACTTCTTGATTGAAGAAAATCAAACTCAATTTATCTAAAACACAAAGTAATGTCAGAAAACCGGACGGCAGTGACCCTAGCAAATAAGCTGCTGAGCTGGTCTGATACAATCTGAGCAACAGCTGGAAGGGAAGTAAACGCCTGTGGAATTTCTTTAGGGGCCAACACTGTTGTCTGCTGGGAAGGGGGGCTACACCCCTGTTGGTGAGGTTAAGGTGCATTCTGAAGTCACCTCTGGGTGTAGTTTATTATTCTGAGAGCAAAAGACTGGCTAAAAGAGCTACTACCTAAGCAGCTTTAGCATAATTGCTCTGCACTGAAGAAATCTCTAGAAATCCAATTTTCTCTTTGGATAAGACTAAAGAAGCAATTAAGAAATTGAGCTCGAAATTCCAGTGATCACGGCTACACAGCACACGGGGGCAGCCCAATCTGAATTGCTGAGGGCCTGGAGATCTGTTTTCACAATTATCTTTCCTTGCTTCTGTCTCTCTTTCTTCAGCTGCCTGCCTTTTAGCCATCTTATTGCTCATTAATATGTCCACTGGAAATTGAAAGGGAGAGGAGGGGGCGCTTAGCTGTGCATTTCTTCTTATTAGTGGCTTTGGTTAATGGCTTCAGAGAGAAGAGAGAGTCTGAGACAATTGGCCCAAATGACGCACCTAGCAAAACCATTCTGATGTTAAGTGGTACTTAGTTCTTCATTTAGGCCGTGTTTAGAGTAAATTCATCTAAAGAGAATAGGCAGAAATTCTAAGCAGGACACAGGTTGTTTTTCCACATCTAGATATTGCAGTTAATTCTGGCATTTAATCGGAAACATTTATTAAGTCTCACAAAAGGCATTTTCCTGTTAATCTTTTGTTTACTACCGTGAATCACTGCTAAGGGCAGCTTTCTCAAAAGAGTTCAAAAATAATTGAATCTGTCACATCCACATAATAATTAAAATGTCCTATAATTTGGCATGCCAATTTAGATGCCCCGAATGTGTAATTTTACTTAAGCATAGCATTACAGGGCATATTCACTCTTCCTGACGTGGAAGAAAAGAAAAGAGAAAAAAAAACGCAATTTTAAAATACAGATCTCTCCCATGCCAAAGACTAAGTAAACGAGTGAACCCAGTTACTTTACAAAATAGTCAACTTTTCTATTCTGCAAAATCAATAAGCAAACTTTTATAAAGTACTAATTCAGAAGTGGGGAGAGTGAGCTCTTCACGATGAAGACAGCACATATTTTTTAATGGAAAGAAGTCTATACTTCTTGTTCCTAATCATCTTCCTACAAAATTTATTCAGGTTTGAGATAATAGTATCCTTTCCATCTTCCCTCAGATGCTGAAAACATATGAATGCTTCTTGCAGAACAATTCTCAGAATTGACCATAATCTAAAATGAGATATCCCCCAGCCAAAAACCAAAAAACAAACTTGAAAGCTCTCAAACAAAACAAAACAACAACAACAACAAAAAAAAAAAAAACAAGAGGATTAATGTCAGGAAGACTATTTTGGTCAAAATATTTGATGCCTTGTAAGCATTAACAGTGTAATGACCATATTTGTTGAGACAATTTTAAATTTGGGGTATAACAAAACTGTAATGCCTTGTTACAATTTACAGAGAGAGAGAGAGAGAGAGAGAGAGAGAGAGAATACGAGAATGCATACATGCACGAGAGCACACATATGCCAGGGACTAAACCCAGGGCCACATACATGCTAAGCACACTCGGCCCTACACCCCCAGTCCCAGAACTTGAATTTTAACTTTAGTAAGATAACACTTTGAGAATGTAAAATACTCTTTAATATGCACTGAAATAAAATACAAGGCTGGGGGTGTAGCTTAGTTCTGAGTTTAATCCCAAACACAAAACAGAAAACACAGTATCCTCACACGACTAAATTATTATAGCCCCAAACAGATGAATAAACTAGTTTTGAGAGATGGCATGTTGACATGCCCTGATACATAAACACAATGTGGCAAAGAATATGGTTATCATAAGATCAATGAAATTGCCTCCTAATAAAAAGAGCAGTTTTTGAACTTGAAAAGGAAAATAAAAATGGCTATGGGGGTGTACATTCACTGCATTTAAAGCCAACACTGTTAACTCTCAAAATAGATAAATAAGTTAGGTAATTAATTTCCTTCCTCTCTCTCTTCCTCCCTCCCTTCCTTCCATCCATCCATCCAAAATCAAGTGAGTACCTATTACCAAAGAGCTGTTTTAGAAATGGATTCACAAGCAAGCAAGGCCTAGTCTGTAACCTCCTTGCAGCTGCAGCTGAAGACTGAGCTGCAGAGAAGCTAAATAGCTTGGCCCAGGCAGCACAATCAGTAGGTGGCATAGCTGGGGCCCAAGGCCAGGTGCCAGGCAGCTTTCCTCTCCATGTGAATTCCCAGAGAAAGACACCATTAGTCTACTTACTGTCATGTAAAATAATGGCAACACTAATTTTAAACATTTAATTTTGGAAGATACTCTTCCATTTGAACAATATATCACATAATTTAAGAAAATATGTCTGTAAACACAAATGTGTCCTCTGTCCACTTTCCACCACAATTTTATTAGATTTGGGACTCAAATCACTTAGTGTGTGCTTGATACACACTCACAGAAGAATAAAACCAATTTTATTTAACTTTCAGGATAAATAAAGAAGTAGTCACTCATAGCCAAAACACCTTGGAGGAAAATGTAAGTGACCTTTCATTAATTCCTGAATTTATTTGGTTCACATCGATTGCACACTTACTACACTTGTGTCATTATACTGGATGGTGTGGAAAGACAGGAAAGTCCCAGCCCTGCCTTTAGGGAGCCTATGCTGATGAGCAGCAAAAAATACTCAAGAGACTCTACTTCGAGGAGACAAGCAGGAGATGCAGCAGCAGAAAAAGTCCCTAGGGCCAGAGGCTCTACAGAAAAGCCACAGGGAGGAGAAGGCAGCACACAGGGCTGGATAATAAACATGTTGACACACAGACACTGGGGTGGAAGGACAGTGGTCATTGCCAAACACGACAAGGTCCCGGAAGTCTGGAGGTGTGAAAGTCACCTCCTGCAAGGCAAGAGGCTGGCAGACGTGGCTCCCCTTGGTAACAACTGCATTCCCAGGATCTGGCATTGCCCTTGACAAGCACCAGGCACCCACTGCACATGAGCTGAAGGATAAATACAAAGGAAGCAAAACACACTGACCATAGTACCTGATCATCCATAGTATGGAGTTGGGGAGGCTGCAGAGTGGAACAGGAGGGAAGGAGTCTAGCTGGCATTGGGAGCAGGATAGGCAGGGGGCAGGGAGATTATAGGGTTACAGATAAGGACATGGAGAATCACACACTTCAAGCTGATGGCTCCGGGCAAGAGAGAAGTAGGGATGAGACAGAACAGGGATGAGGGCAGAGAGCTGAGACTCAATTTATGTTAAATATTAGAAGACAGAAAAGAAGGGATAGTCAATTGTTGAAAAAGAGTCAACTTGGAATGCACATGGAAAAAAAATGCCAGGGCTAAAAATTTAGCCTCTTAACCTTTATATTTACTGATATGATCAAAGATTCTAGGTCTTTCAGAACAAGTAAGCATAAAGCAACTCTGAATTTTCTTTCTGCATAGAAAAAGTAGACTTAATTCTCAGTTTTTATCTTAACATTTTTTATATCTATAAGAAAAGGCTCCTGAAATATTATGCTGGGTCCCCATCCTTCCTGTTCTCAAGTAAACTAAACAAAACTATGCATTAACATTGATGTGGCAGCTACCCTCAGCCCCAGGATGTCTCCAGGAATGCCAACCTCAAATTGCTTGCTGCTCTCTAGTAGGTAAAGGAAAAAAACATTCTATCAGATGCGTCAGTCAGTTACATAAGCTCAATGAAGATGTGGTTATCAGGCCTACAGATCTGCAGATAGTCCAGGTAGCTGTCCTAGATACAAGAACTAGATGGACCCATTGCAAAATAATTTAATCCACTTTAATGGGCAGGATGCCGTCATGACAGTGGGGTGTGCTCAGGGAGTGGTGAGGGGCAGGACAGGGTCCAGGTAAAGGCTGACCAAAGGAAAAAAAAAAAGCCCAGAGAAGCTTTCAGTATGGCAAGAGACAATAAAAGGGACCCCACTTGGGGACAAACCGAGAAAAGGGGGGATCAGCCCTGTAGAGCTCAGCTTTGAGATTCCAGGGGACAAAGGGGAATCTGGGCAGCCATTGACTTAGAAATTGGCTTCCCTGGCAAAAAAGTACCTGTGATTTTTCTGTGACTAGATACTGTGGCATGTGGCACTCGCCTCACCCGGGGAGGGTGGAGGCTAAACCATAGTGACCTATCTGCTACTCCCCAAAGCTCCTACTGTCCCCTGAACCCCCTCTCTCATATTTCTTCTCCCAGAGTTTGTGCTTCTAACTTTGAGGTAGTTTCTCCCCCACTGGAAACCTGAATAAAATCGTTCAGCACATGTTTGAAGGAACATGTTTAAAAAATTCTGAAATGTTCTAATAACCGTGGTCATGTAAGCTTATCAAACAAAGTTCTGTGAAGGTGAAAAACAGCATTTAAATAACATTCAAGTGAGTGAGCAGCAACTTGTGCTTTTCCAGGTGGATACATTACTGAAGTTACTGGTTTTGTTCTCTCCAAGAAAAGAAATGAAG